GTACGGCTTTAAGAAAGAAAAAAAGGGGAAGGGAGCCTACTATGGCCTGAATGTTCGTGTCTCCCCATAATTCATATGTTGAAATCCTAAGCCCCAAAGGTGATGGTAATAGCAGGTAGGACCTTTGCTAGGTGTTTAAGTCATGAGGGTACAGCCCTCATGAATGGGATTAGTGCTCTTATAAAAGAGAGCCCCCTTGCTCCTTCCACCATGTGAAGACAAAGAAAAAATAAGAAGTCTGCAACCTGGAAGAGGGCCCTCACCCAACCTTGATGGCACCCTGATCTCAGATTTCCAACCTGCTCGTCTGTGAGCCATAAATTTCTGTACTTTATAAGTGACCTAGTCTGTGGCATTTTGTTGTAACAGCCTGAACTAAGATAGGGCCCAACTAAGAATGTTCCTCATTAATTTTCTAAAGAGTTAGTCCACCAGGAAGCCAACTATTCTTACTTTCCAGATAAGGCAAGTTTCATTCATTTATTTATTCATTCAAATTCAGTAAACAAATATAGTTCAGACCAATATTATGGATTGGCTTGGTCAATACCTCTCTGCTTCTTAGCAGAGAATTGAGCAAGAAATTTACATGTGAATTAAGACTGTTCTAAGTAACTTCTTCTTTTTTAAAGTTTATTTACTTAAGTAATCTCTACACCCCAACGTGGGGCTCTAACTCATGACCCCAAGATCAAGAGCCACACACTCTTCCGACAGAGCCAGCCGCGCACCACATAGACTGTTCTAAATAATCTCTGTAGGTTACATAGTTACGTGCTTATAGTCCAAACATACCAAGGACAAAAGGAATTATCTCAAAATAAAATCACCCTTCAAAAATTATTAAAGAGGTCTGGAAGATGTTAAATTGAAGAGATAGCTTAACATCCAGTCAGGGTCTGAATATACCAGAACTGCTATGTCTTAACAAATTTACTCCCCTAGGGGCAACATAATATACATAAAACTGAAAATGCACAGGCCTGCCGTTTGCCAATGGCTGTAGGGAAATACTCCAATATATTTGAAATCTGCCAAGAAAACAGTTTACCTTTTCAGTTATGTCTCATTTTATGTTTTTGAATTTTTAATAAGTTTTATTGATTCTTGTTGACCATTTTTCTATGACACACTGAGAAAATTGTTTTAGAATTTTCTCTCTAAACACCCTCCATAAAATTTAATTATATTGCTTTTCATTTGTATAGTTCTTGGATGCTATTTTCCCCACTGTGTGTCAATGACTCATCGTAGGAAAAAAAAAGGTTACCATCCATTCCTTACTTGGTATCTATATGACTGTAAGGGAAGACATTGGTTTTATCCACAAACTACTGTAGCCAGATTGTTGCAGAAATATGAATTAATTAATGCAGAACTGATGTAACACTGTTACCAGGAACCAAAGAGTTAAATTCAGGATCCAAGGTAATTCCTATAAACAAAAGTGGTTGGGATTTGTGTCTGAATCATGGTGGGGTATTAAAGTGTAAGAGGGAGTTTGGGATGGAGAGACAGAGAAAACCTCACCACAGCACATGGAAGTTTCTCCTTAGGAGAGCCTTGTGGCTCATTGTGCCTGTCAAGTAGGCTAATGTGCCTGTAAATTTCCTCTGACAGAAAACACATCACAGCAGCACCACCAGAAATTCACAACACAACCAAACTGTGGAAGACTGAAAGCCCAGCGCTTTCAAGGGTGATCAGAATGTAACAGAGTAAAAAAATACAATGCATTGAAAATAAACAAAGGCTAGGAAGAAATGAGATCACTTTCTAAGAAAAAAGCATTTATCATTTATAGGCCAAAGGAAGTGCTTCTCCCACAGCCATTTTTTATACATTATTTGGCAGTCTCAGTTCAAGGTCAAAAATGTCAGAGGGTAAAAGGAATAGGACTCAAGGTTTAAGATTTGTCATGACTGGTTTGTAATTGCATAAATATTAAATATGTAGAAATAACTGTAAGCACATTCTCTCCACATCTCCCCACGTTGCTTTAATTTTTAATGTAGTCTTTTATCCACCTCCCCCTCAGCTGGCTGTGGGTTTGTGACCTGCATAGCTAGAATGATCTGGTGCCACCAATCTACTAATGAAGTCACTCACTGAACAGAAGAGGCTTCTAAAGATTATACAAAGCTGTAGGAAAGAAGGGTGTGGAAATGAAATTTTATGTTTCAGGTAAATGGAAAGTTTATTTTACAGCACGTTTTCCCATTGTAAATCTAAAATGGCCACTTTAAAATAAATTTGGAAAACAGAGAAGAGGGCAGACAAAGCACCCACATTTTCATCATCCTAACTTATTGGTGGTGTATATTCTGATCTTTTATACCTATGCACATATATTTTTAACATAGATGTAATCACTTGTGTGTGTTTATAAAATTTTGTATCCTTTTTTCTCCTATTAACATGGTTATTATCATAACTATAACTTTTATGATTGTAAGATAATAATAAAAAGAAAAGTCCATAATTTACTCAGCCACTCAGTTTCTGGTATCTATCATAGCAGAATGGTTAAGCAGCTGACACTGCAGCCAGATGAATCAAATACCAGCTCTGCTACCTAACTGTGTGGATCTGGACAGGTTAGTGAAGGCTGCATCTCAGTTTGCTCATCTATGAAATGGGGATAATAACAGTGCCCCTATGAGAGTGTTCTGGTTAGAGTTAAAGGAAATAATCGATGAAAAGCACCTAGCCTGGCTCTATTATACAGGAAGGACTAAAACAAAGTGTTATTGAAACCAAGAAAGTCAAATACATTACACTATAGTTTCAAAATTAACAAAAAACGTTTCAGTCCTACAGTCTCCTGAGACATTGCCATCACCCCACAAGTTCCCTTGTGCCTTTTTCTAGTAACAACTCCCCATCTCCACTGCTAACCAGATTTTTATGCTTAACATTTCCTCACTTCGCTTCATGCTTAACATGTAAGTATGTTTCCTGAAAAATATAGCTGTTTGGCCTCTTACTGAACTTGATGTAAATGGCATCTGTCTGTCCCTCTCTCTCTCCCTCTCTCACACACACATATTCACATACACAATATCATTCTGTATTTAGGAGGCATACAATCCAAGTCTTGATTTTGTTGTGATAAAGAAAGGTTTGGACAGGGAGCCAGAGAACCTGGCTTCTAATCCAGTCTCCATGAGATCCCAGGCAAATCTTTTTGCTTCCCTGGGGCCTCCATGTAAAATGTGTGTATGTGCTAAGTGTCTTTGAAGCTCTGGAGTACTAAATTGTTAAGCCTTTCCTATTTGAGTACTGCGTTGGCATATGAGAAACCAGAGCCAAAGAGAATCCAGAGAAAGACCTGGGGCCTGCTGGAAATAAGCCTCCTTTCCCCCAAAATCATGCCAGTAATAGTGTCAGCAAACAAAGGACTATAAAAAAAAATGGAAGTGATGATCCTACACCACAAATAATTTTCTCTTCTCTGATATGTGCACATTTAGATATATTATTGGCCTTAGTGATCATGTGCATGGATATTTTCCCTAAGATAAGTCATAACCATAAAGATTTTAATGTCAGGAGTTTGGAGTTCAAATAAATAATTACATATTACAGGTTTTCCTGGACAGAGTCAGTTTTAAACATCTTCACTGATTCTAAGTATTTCTTATATGTATTTCTGTATGTGCGTCTGGATTTCTCCCAATACTGCCCGTAGTAAATACTGCAGGTTGGCTCACTTAATGTCCATTCCACCCTCATCTTCTGGCGTCTTTCATAATGCAGAAACTGGGAGCTTACAACAGTTTCTAGATTTCTTTGTGCCTAGAGCTATGGATATGAATTAGGTCTGCAATTAGATATATTCATGCAAGATTTAGAAAACATAAGAGAAGATGGGCCGTCACCCTGACCACTCTTGGCTGTATTTCCCTAATAATTAAAGTCACTGAAACATTTTTCTGAAGCAGTGTTCCATGGCCCATCATTCAGCCCCCTGAAGGACAATAAGCAGTTGGGACAGCAGTAGCTTTCTGTCTCTGCCTGCCATCACAGGGTTATGTTACTGATACTCATATTCCAAAAGTCCTCAGCAGTCATAGCTCCGCCAATAGGTCAACTCTGTATTGTACTAGAATCATTGATTTTCAGAGGCTCTGTCTGTCACTCACTTCTCCCACCCTGATCATTCATTCGTTTTTGTAAGCACCCTTTGTTAAATACCTTCCTTCGTGAAAATACCTAAAATCGTTTCTATTTGTTTACACTGAACCCTGACTGATACACATCCTGATTGTTACTTTAGAAAATCTGTTCACAAGGTATAAATTATCATAACTCTGTAGAATGCTGTATTGAAAAGAGAAGTTTCGAACCCAGAAAAAACAAGCTATACCGTTTAGTATCTATGTGTCCTAAAGCAAGTTGTCTAACTTCTCTGTATCTACATCCTTTCTAAATAAAATAGATACTAACATACTAATCTTACAGAGTTGTAAGAATTAAATAGAGGCAGCACAGGTAAAGCACCTAGCATACATTGGTCATTCATTATATAGAGTTTATTTCTTTCTATCCCCATATTGGACTTTCTTTAGTAATCAAGATGATTAGTAAAATAATTTTGGGGGAAATTCTCTTTGAAGGACTTATAAAAAAAAAAAAAACACCCTTAAGGAACTTAAAGATTCACAAAGACAAGAGGAATAGCTTTAAATGCCATTCAGGAGCAAACAGACTTCTATTATGAACCAGAGCAATCCATTATGAGTACTACCCATTCACCCCAACTAGTGGCTCAAGGCCCAAATAATCATTAATTCATTCAACGAATATTTATTAAGCCTTGACATTGCTAGACATGACTTTATTCATTAAGATACAGTGATAAATCAAAAGGTCCCAAACTTCCAGGAGCTTGCATTCTACTGGAAGACACAGACATTAAAGTAAGTCAATAAATAATTTCAAATAGTGAGAAACACTATGAAGAAAAGGCATTCTTCCTTTAGCTCTCTTTCCCTTACCTTCTCAGAAGTTTATTATGTTACTTGACTCATCCTCTTTCTCAGCTTCATGGAAGGGAAAGCATAAGGAGGTGAAGATTATGCCAACAGTGTCGTGATTCTCTTAGGCAGACGAGTAGTTTCAGGATCTGTGAAGGGTCTGGGGCCTGTCACTGTTTCATGGATGCCAGAAGAGAACACAAGATGCCTGGATTAGAGATAAAAAAGCATGTCAAAGCAGCATAAGCATGATATTGGTGTTAGTTTCCCATGTCTCCCAAACCCCAGAGGGTCTAAAGGAAGGGGTCCAGATGGGTGCCATACACATAGCAGATTTCTGTCATAGGCCAAAGAATACCGAACTTGGAGAATTTACTGCTTTTATAGTGTTTTTGGTAAGCAAGCCTGCTCTTGGTTTGGGAGAAGATATTACTTGGTTGCTCAAGGTTGCTCACAGCAAACACAATCCTGAAATTGACCCAAGTAAAGAATAGTCAGGGGTCTTGCACTCTTGGCATACACAGAAATGATGTGTAGAGGTGCTCATGGGCCAACGGATAGGAGATAAAATGATTGAACCCTCCAACCTCTATAGTTTTATGCAATTATAATTATAAAATTTTCTTAAGTTCTTAACCCCTTTCAAACCTTCATCTTAGATATGATGTAGTTAGGCAACTGAAGAGTTCAGTCAGACTTAGAATAGCAGTTGGCATGGGAAGAAATAAATTTTCCAGTTTTACCAAATATAACCTGAGGCTCTTGTATAGACATAGACCCTCTCATCATCAGAAGAATGGAGCCAGACCTCATACCTTCCAGAAACCTCACCCCAGGCTCTATTCCTGTTCAAGATTACATTGATTGCCCATTTTAACAAACCTCAGCTGCAAAAATCTATTTCTGTAGGTAGGGAAAATAGTGTATGTTCCTACCCAAAGCACTCCTCACATGGCCATTGCTCTTGCATTCTGATGCAAATGGCTCTTGCTAGATCATCCTCACAGTCAACTTTCCTTGGGCTCTCAAGCCATGGATCAATACCAGGGAGAGAAAATTGTAGACTTCCTCCATGACATATCACTGCTGTCCAAATTATCCATGTCGACTCCATTATCCACTTCCTGTAATGGTTATTTCAAATGTTCTCTACCCTACTCGCTTCTTCATGGGACCGTTCTTCCCCTTTTCCAGAGAAAATGGAAAGTAACTGGGGAATGCTCTCTCAGTATGTCATTTGTTACCTCTTGTAATCCTACAGCACACACTGAAAAATAGCCATTACTATCCCAGTGTGGCATGTTGGAAAATGGAGCTTTGGAGATATCATATAACTTTCCCAAAGTCACAAAAGCTATGTATCCTGGAGAAGGAACCAGATTGAATCTCTATGATATGGGCCCTGCCCCCATCCAGCTTCCAGATAAGGTAAAATAAAACTTCTCTGTTTTTTTAAGTGTTGGTGTAAAAAGTTCTAGCCTCCTAAGCCACAGAAACATGTGCACTATAGAGAATGTTTGCTTTTACTTTTCCTAGATACATTTTCTCATATCATAATGATTAGATCGGTAGCTGTTTGTTTCCCTAATGACAGAGCTAATTGCTCTGGTCCAAAGGGCAAATAAAACTCTTATCATCCCCAAAGCAAAATATTATATTCTGGGATAGGCACCTAGGTTAGTTCTGAAGGTGCTGGGGAGACTGGAGTGTTATCTTTATAGTTATTTAAATTCCAACTTGGAATGAGGCCCTAGAGCTTAGAAACATCTGGGGTAAGGAGGAGAGCCTTTCAGGAGATGAGGAGGAACAGCTGCATCCTTTATCTTTATAAACACAGAAAAATCACTTCTTGTCCCTTGTCTATAGAGTATCTGGCCACTCATGTAGAAAAATTTTCATTGGCTTTCATAATACCGCCCCAAGGGTAAGACCTGGAGCAAGCTGGGAGAGTGGAGCATGCAGTTCTTATTTACTCTGGGGTAGTAAGAAAATCTGCCTCTGATCCAGAACATCTCATGTGCTCATTCAAGGTAAAATGAATAAGACAAATATTAAAAACACAATACTAGGGGCACCTGGGTGACTCAGTCAATTGAGTATCTAACTCTTGATTTCGGCTCAGGTCATGGTCTCAGGGTTGTGAGACAGAGCCCCGTGTTGGGCTCTGTGCTCAGCAGGGAGTCTGCTTGGGATTCTCTCTCTCCTCTCCCTCCGCCCCTCCCCCTGATTGCATGCATGCTCTGTCTCTCTGAAATAAACAAAATCTTCAAAAAAAATCCCACAATACTAGACATTTCAGAGAAGGGATAAGAACACAAATACTTCCAGACCATGAAACAAATAGTTATAACAAATACCTGGTAATATTTGAAGAGATAAAGATAGTACTTGAGCTTCTTTGTGTAGAATGAGTAGAAATTTGCTGGTGGACAAGGCTGCTGAAAAGCATTCTAAACATAAAGAATTGTACCAAGGATCTGAGGTGCACCTTTGTTCAAGTTGTTATAATATTGGCCTTTCTTCAAGGTACTTTATTTCCATATATCACAAAATTGTCATATTAATTTCATTAGAATAAGATATTCTACTGCCATCTTCCAGAAGATAGTTCTAATAACAAATTGACAATATCAGCAATACATACAGCACCTCTTAGAGATGTTCTATGTATGGTTTCTACAACCATACCCAGTGGCCCTGTCTGCTTGGCTCAACAGGAAGAAAGCAAATCGTTCAACATGACTAGCGTGAGGACTGTGAGTGAAAGAGCAGGGGTAGGGGAGGGGGATAGGCAGAGGTCAGAATTTGAAGAAACTTAGGGTTCATACTAATGTGATTAGAATTAGATGTGAAAGTGCTGGGAAACTACTGATGGATTTTAGGCAAGAACTAATGGGACTGACATTTTCACAAACCTAGAGCATAGAACATTGGAAAAGCGGCGAAAGTAGGGTAAGATTAGTTGGGAGACCTGGTAAGGGACCAGAAGACCACAGGAGCTCTATGATAAGAAAGGATAGGGAAAAGGCTGATTTCTTTGGCCTCAGAGGGACTGGCGGGGGTGGGGGATCTTCTTCCTGTCCAGAGTGATTCTCTCCTGCAGAGCTATTGGTCCCCATCACTGTACCTTCTTCCCTACCACCTTGATCTGTCACTTAACTCTTCTTTCTCCTGTGTCTTCAATCTCTCTCTCCACTTGTTCTAACCCTGCAGGCTTTGGTTGCCCTAATATGCCAAAGTCTTGATTCTGCTCACCCTATTTTTCTGCACGAGTATTTCCCCCTGTATTAGAATGGCTTTACTCACTCTTCAGATTAGGAAAATACTACCCTTCTAACAAGTGGTTGAATAGCCCCTAAGCAGCAAAGTGGTAGCTAACAGAGCCACAAGGATCACTACTGAAGCTACTAGGTTGGCTTGCCACACTTGCAGAGATTCAGCCAGTAAGATGACTATAGGTTCAACTGGATTAAGGTAATTTATTACTTAACACAGCAAAAATAGTATCAGCATGGTGTCACCTCCCCACATCTCTAGTCCCACAGGATGATACTCAACTGGAAGGACCTAATGAGAGAGACAGGAGTGATGGGCTGATCTGTTCCTGAGAAGCCATCTAAACTGTAGTCTGACAGTTTCTAGATTCACACAGAAGTTTGAAGCTATAATTGAAGTGGGGTGGAGTCAGATGGAAAGTCCTATGCTCTACTGAAACTAGGGAGCTCAATGAGAAATGGTTTGATAGAAGTCTGCTGCTCACAAGAAGCTTATCTCCTCTTGGTCATGGAGGAATTGTAGGGCATTCCACCAAGACTGATCAGAAGTGCCTTTCTGGCTTATGTGAAGACATGGAAGGTCATGTCGTGGCCAGGCTATACCCCAATAACTCCACCTCTGACCTTTCATGTATTGAAGTAAGAATTATTTTCAGGAGTTTAGGACACCCATGAGATTACCTAATTAATTGTACTGATTGATTATAGGGGCTTGGACCAAATATTTTCCATTCATTTTAGGCCACAGCAGATAAAAGCGACCGTAACTATGACTCCTATCAAGATGGTCAGGCTAACTTGAAGGATAAATTGTAAAGGCTCCCCATCCAGAGCCAAGACGGTTAAGTATGTTTCAGGTGTTGTTAAGATTGACCTGAGAAAGCCACACTGCTTTCTCTCTAAGGTAGAAGATAATTGTTCCACCTTTCCTGATTCATTAATCTAAGTGCAGTAATAGGTGTTGGCATTTGAATATATTCTCCCTTGAATGTCCAGCAGGAGGTCCAGGGCAACATGATTGTTTATTATCATTTGCATTAGAGATTTTACACTGGTTTAGGTTTGTCAGGCAAGTATAGGTCTGATGTCCACATAAGTACCCTACTGGGGGCATAACCTGTATTAGGAGTGTAAGTGCCATTTATGACAACAAGGGTGGGTCAATTTTGTGTCCCTTATGGTGGACAAACTCCTTGTTTAGAGCTAAATAATTTCCTGCAAAGCAGCCTGCAGTGCTGCTTCTGCAGAGGACAATCTGGCTATGAGAGCCAACCAGCCTAGCCCTTATGGTGTGGACTGTTCCAGGTGAACTAGAGTCTGCTAATGCAGAAGTTTGTAATGACTTCGGCAATGGCATTTTGCTGACATGAGGGTCAAGGTTTAATTCTTCAGTGTCTGAAGGAAAAGCTGTTAAGTTTTTGTCAGCAGGGTCAGGAGGGAATGATAGATGCAGCAATCAGTTAAATTCAGCAGTGGTGCTGGTCTGGAAAAAGCATACAAGAGAACTTTTTTCTTAGACGATAGGGAGAGACCACAAGGGAGTAGGCTTGTGGGGTGGCAGGCATATTAATATCCAGAAAATTAATCTTGTTCCGTCATCTCAGGTGGAGGTCATCTATCTGAAAGGGCAACAGTCCTTAAAGTCTAAAAACTAAAGATCTAAGTCCTAACATCTAGGACTCTAGGATTTAAGTTAAAAATGGGTTTTCAAAGATTTTTCTTTCTTTTTCTTTTTCTTTCTTTCTTTCTTTTTTTCTTTCTTTTCTTTCTTTCTTCTTTCTTCCTTCCTTCCTCTCTCTCTCTCTCTTTTATTTAAAAAAAGAATGGGTATTCAAGTTTACAAAGGCATTCTGAGATGATAGACCAGGCCAGGTGTCCTATAAGTGAGAGGCAAGAGAGGCTTAATGATTCTTTCCCCAACCCCTGACTTCCCAGGGTTTAGAGTATTCCTCTCCTACCAGCTGGGCTCTTCATTTCCTTCCACAGCCACATGATTGGTATAACTAGTCTCTGCAGCAATCGCTTTATTCTTTTTTCCAATCCTCATCATTTCTAACCCACACCATTTGCTTGGATTCATCGCTCAGTGGTTTTTTGTTTGTTTGTTTTTTGTTTTATTTTGTATAGCTTGTAGCATCCTAGAACTTATCCCACCCTAAAGGTGGGGACCTGCCAGGACCACTTTAGAGTTATCATCTCATACTCATTATTTTCTTCTGTGCTCTAGTTCAAATATATCTTACCAAGGCATCTGAAATACCTGCTACTTCCAGTTCGTCAGGTCCAATTAGCATAATGTTGTCATTATGAACTACCAGAATGAACCAGTGTGATGTTTTGTGGAATGTCAAGAGGATCAACATTTCTGTAGACTATATTAAGGAAAACTGATGTGCCCCTGAGGTAACCATGTGAAGGTATACCATTGGCTCTGTTAGGTAATAGCCAACTGCTTCTGCTGGTTTTTATAAAGAAGTATAGAGAAGATGGCATTAGCTAAATCAGTAGCTGTATTACAAGTACCAGGTGCTGTGTTGATTTGTTCCAGCAAAAATACTGCACCTGGAACAGCAGCCCCAACTGGAATTACCTCCTGGTTAAGTTTACAGTAATCCACATTTTTCAGGATCCATATGACTTTTACACTGGCCAAACTGGTGGGTTAAATGGGAATGTGCTAGATATCACCACCCCTGCTTCTTTCAAGTCCTTCTGGTGGTATTGTTTCTGGTTTATGATCTTGGAAGACAGTGAAAATTCCAGGAGCATCCCACTTAGCCTTCCTACTATAAAGGCACCCACCTCATGGGTTAAAAAGCCAATGTCGGGATACTGTCAGTTTTAGAACTGAGAAAATAACCACAAATTTCGTGTGTGAATCAAGTGAACTAACAGAACCAACATGAGCTAAGACTTCATCTAACTACTGACCAAGATAAACTCTAACTTTGGTTGGAGCGTGAAAGAGGCATTTTGTAGTCTTAGGGATTAGCATCAGTTCAGATTCAGTGTCTAGTAAATCTCAAAAGATCTGCATATTTCCTTTTCTCCAGTGTAGTAGATGGATACACAGCTCTTTGGGGAAGGCTTGGGCAAACATTTAAAATGTGTATTGTAGCAATGGTGCAAGGTCCTTCCTTTTAAAAAAAAAAAAGAATTGGTAAAATTATATATTTCATATAATGTATTTAATCTAACCCATTATATCCAAAATATCATTTCCAAATATAAGCAATATGAAACATTGATATATTTTACTTTTAAGGATTGAAAAATACATGTTTATTATGACATTGTCCATAGTGGCAAAAATCTGAACATGATCTGAGCGGTCCATCAATGGTACCACTGCTGTGATCTGTGCAAAGTCCTTCCTGAAGGAGATGCTCTGTCAATCAAGGGCTTCTGGGTCTGTGAACTGGTTTAGGTCTGAATACTGCGTGAGAGGCTGTGATTGTCCACTCTGCTGACTCAAGTTAGATTTTACCTACCTTAGAGCTTTTGCTATTATAAATATCAAGCACTACTCTGTTAGGCTGGCTATGTACTTTGTTCCTAGGGCATCTCTGTGGACTAAGGCATCTGAGTGTCTGTACACACCTGCTGCCCTTTAAGGCAAATGTACCTAATCATATTTGGTGCCTAAGTGCTGCTTGTCCTCTGCTATTCTCAGGTCCTGTAATCTCCAGTGAAATCCAGAAGCCCATCTCAGTGGTGGCATCCTCTGTAGTCATACATGGCCTACAGAGGGGAACATCCATAGAGATTTTCAAAGATGCATGTCTTCCTCTCACTAATTTATTTCTCAATTTTTCAGTGAAGGGAGTGTCTCTGGGCCTTTGATGGAATGCAGTTGAGGATGGGTATTCAGGTAGTATATGGTAAATCCAGTATAACGTTTCCCTAAGTCTTCGGATTCCCTGTTCCACATGTCTGGGAAACTTGGGCACCTCAACCTCACAAATTGGGTCCAAGTTTCCATCAATCAACCAAGTAAGCTATTAGAACCACCTCTAGCTGCATAAGCTGAAACATATAATTAACACCATAATAATAAATTTGGCTCAATATAGTGTTCTACAGTGTCCTCCATAGTCTAACACCCTTAGGAGCCACTCCCAAACATGTTCTCCAGTTCTCTGCCTATGTATCAACAAGGTAAGTTATTTCTCCTGCCCATGTATCAATTTTGGTGTTTAAGTTATTTCTTCCTTCACCACAGTGTGCACCTATCCCCCAGAAGCATGCTAAGATTTGACGCTATTTAAGAGTATAGTGGCAATAGAAGGTGATTGTGGTGGGTTTTGAGGAGAATGTGAATTCTCTCTCAAGGGATTGTCCCAGGTGAGGTTGTCACAAAGTTTTCAAGCAGAGGAAGCCCACCTCCTCAGACAAGGGAGGGCAACCTACTTCCACTGGTAAGAGAGACCCAGAGTGACTTAATGGTTCAAGATTGCCAGTTTCATCTGGGTCCAACCCATTCTGAGTTTTGAAGTCCTATTATTTAATCATCAATACTCTTTTACATGAGAAACTTGGTACATTTGTGAATTCAACACAAGCTGTAATTCAGTAACCCGAAAATTAAAATTTTGCGTTCGATTTTCAGAAATACAATTTTTGTTGCTACAATAAGAGCCTCTTTTAGAATTGTTATAGAAGCTCTCTGGTTCTCATGCCATACCTTTGGATTTGTGTTTGTCATTTCTCTTTGTAAGTATTCAAAGGAGCTCAAAAGAATCCATCTCACACCACAGTCCTTATAGTCACCTTACAGCCATAACAGTCAAGTGTCATTGCCACTTGGGCCCCCCCTCAAGGCACATGCTTCAGTTGGCACTTCATCACAATCAGCCACAGGCAATTGATTAATTGGAACACCCTGTGTGCCACGAATCTCTAGAATCTTATTTCCCTTTGGCAAGGAGTTCAGCACTGAGCTCAAGCCAAAGGCCCAATCAAACCAAATTCCTAACCCCATCTTTCCAAAGCCATCTCTTGCAGTTATAGGTAAAGCTTAATAAAAATAAAAAAGCCTAAATGAAACATTTATAAACTATAACAGAGAATTAATGAGAGATTCACTAGTGGGAAGACAACCCTAGGGAATATACAAATAGCAGTTACTAGGAGCTAACCTTATAACTAATCCCTGGGCTGGGAGCTAGAGTTTTCCAAGAAGGCTCCCCACCCCCTCCTGACTTCACTGGAGAGGGAAGAGTCCTCTCACTCTGGCTCACTGAATGGCAGAGAAGTAACACGGGCAGAAATATGCCCTGTGGAATTTACTACAAATCTTGTCTCTAGAAAGCCTGGAAAGCTGTTCATGGGGTAGTGGCTCACCTTAGCACCTCCACTACACAACCACTAGAGTTAAGGCTGAGGGGGAAACTTCTGACCTCCAAAGCATTATCGGAATTTGGCACTGGAGAAAGCCAGGTACGCTGCAAGCGCCTGCCTACACATACACCAAAACCAGCAAGATAAACCCTTTTCTTCCTGTAATGTCTCTTCAGCGCCCTCTACTGACAAAGCTTCAGCGGCTGCTGGCAAAGGAAAACTTACTTAAAAGGGCCCAGATCCATTCTCACAGTGCAGTCAAAAAGGGCGGATTTGGAACAGCGCGGCAATAGAGCAATAACCTGCACAGCATCACTTCTTGGGCTCCACTCAGAGACTCTGTAGCCAGCTGTCGTTTGGCAGTCTCCTTTCCCTCAGGTTTCACCAAGAAGTCACCAAAAGCAGCAGAGGAAAAGATGAGTCTGAACAGAAAGCAAAGGCCCTTTCTCTATTTCTACAGCTCCTCACCGAATTGACGTCCCAGACACGCCAGGCCCGGGTCCTCAAGGACAGGAAACCTGGGCAGCGAAAAGGAAGTGGGGAGAGAGCTCAGCCCTTGTGGAACCGGGCTGCTGGCGTCTGCAAGCCTCTGAGGGCCTCACCTCCACCCAGGCTGCCAGCCAGTTCACAAAAGCCGTCTGAGGTCTTCTCTCCGCCTGGGCGCAGGGAGGCGGGCGCAGAGCGGGCCCGATGGGCGACGCACTGTGATTGGTCGCCGGAGGCCCCGCCCCCACCCCGGCGCGTCGAGAGGGGGCGGGGCCAGCCGCCTATTCGGCTCCGGGGCTGCGGGCGCCTATTGACCCAGCAGCCGCCTCGCCGCGGCTGTCTCCTTCTGCTCGTGGCGGGCGGTGTAGGAGCGCCGAGTGGCGCTGGAGAACCGGTGCTTCCTTTCGCAGCTGCCGCCGCCATCTCCGCATTTGCGGGGCGGGAAGGAGGGAGGGGACTCGCGGCTGCAGCTGGAGCGGGCTTCTCTCCGGGGACGCTCCTCTCCTTGCTCTCCTTTTCCTCCTCCGCGCGCCGCCGCCGCCCGCCCCCTGCGCCCTCCTCGCGCAGCCCGGGTCCGGGAGGGGAGAGGAAGGGGCGCTGGGGGGCGGGAGAGGCCAGCGGACGGGCGCGCGCTCGGAGGAAACTCCTGCCGGATCCGTTCGTCCCCGCGCCCAGGGTGCACCCCGGCCCGGCCTCGGCGGCGGCGGCGGCAACGGCGGCGGCAGCAGGAAGGCGCTCTAGCGGGGGTGGCGCCGCGGGGGCGGGTCCGGCCGTCCCGGCGCTAAGTTGTGGGGCCCGGCTCCTCTCGACCTGGTTCCTTTCCCCTGGACTGTTCGGACCCAGCTCTGTGCTGTCGACCCCAGAGCCGCTGATCCCGCACCTCCTGGGTGAGGGGGACACGCCTGCCCTCGTCGAGAAAACTTTTCCTGCTGACTCGGTCGGGGCGGCGGTGGCAGGAAGTCCGGACAGCGACCTCTTCGCCTGCCCTGCGCCTGCCGGGTGCGGGCGCTGAGCTCGAGATCAAGTTTGCGGGGGCCCCTTCCGGGCTGCAGGCGGGTCCCGCCTGAGGAGGGACGCCCGACCCCAGGGAGGGCGGTGGGCCCGGGCGAAGGCCGAGGGCGTGTGGTGGCGCCGGAGACGAGGTGCGGAGTGCGGTTGGGATCCGCACCGGCAGCCAAAAACGCAGAGAGCAGGAGCCCCGGAGCAGGGAGCCTCCCGCGGCCGCCTGCAGGAGTCCACAGTCCGCCTCTTTCTTCGGTGAGGACAGTGTCCTGGCCCCGAGTCTATCGAGGAAAAATGAAGTTAAGCCGCCAGTTCACCGTGTTTGGCAGCGCGATCTTCTGTGTGGTGATCTTCTCGCTCTACCTGATGCTGGACCGGGGTCACTTAGATTACCCTAAGAGCCCGCGTCGCGAGGGCTCCTTTCCCCAGGTAAGCTACGGCATGGGGCTCCACGAGGGTAGGCGTGGGGGCCCGTAGTTCCCCGCTGCTTCGCGACCTCTCCCTCCTGCCGAACCTCCGCGCCGGGGCAGGGCGAGGCCGAACCGGAGGAGGATCCGAGCCTCCCCCAGCTCGAGCTCTGCAGCGTTCGGACGGCGGTGAGTGAGACCCGGGAGCCTTCTCCTCCCGGGCGCTCCGAGTTAACAAAGTGCCGGGTGGCATGCGGTGGCGGGATCGCGCTCAGGGGCAGTGGCCATGTTCCCGCACTAGCGTTCGGGCCTGTTGGGGTGGCCTCGGGCACCTGCCAACTGGAGAACCGGCGCAGCGCTCGATTACCGCTCTTGGGCAGCCCCTCGGCCCACAAAGGGTTAAGCTGCACAGACCCCCTGAGCGCCCCCAGTCGTGGAAATTGATCAAGCTGACCCCATCTGGTCTGTTTTTTCACTCCACTGTCTCTCGAGAAATAAGCAAAAGTTTATTACGTGTTGCAAACCTCTTAGATGTGAATCTGTAGGGTTGATTTTACTGTCGTCATTCTTCAGCTATTACATAGGGTTTGTTTGGAGCAGACGTGGGAGCCCAGTAGGGAAGCGCGTGTTATACTCCAGCCGGAAGCTGTGGGGCGCTCAGTCCTGCGCCCAGTGGTCAAATTCTCCATCGAGTTGGGAAACCACCCGTCTTAAGTCTTTTATATAAAGTTACTAAAAATAAGCAAACAGACAATTGGCTGTGTTTGGAAAGATGCCGTGCCACGTGTGAGATTTGTTTCAAGTTATTTGCACATGACCTGTACTCTTCAGAAATTTTAGTAAAATTGGGTGTTGTGTAGTAATCTCTAAAGAGTTGAACTGGAGAACTCAAAACCGTGACAAGCTGATCTAACAACTACTTGACTCAGAGATACTGAAAAAGTTGACAGAGTTTTTCTTCCTTTTGTGACAATGTAAGTGACCAGAGAGTATCCTTGCTCTTTGTTCTTGTGCTAAGGCAAAAGGCCTGAATTTAATTGAAATTAAGCTACTAACTTTATCAGAATTCGGAAAGTTAAAAAAAGACCTCTTTGTGGATGCTGTCATCAATACAGAGCCCTCAAAATGTTTTGCAGGTGAAAGGTGTTAAAAATATTGTTGTAAACGTGTCAAAAAATTTTAAAAGCTTTTTCTCTTAATATGATGGAGGAAATATAGTGAGATAAGCAATATGGAATGTCTTTAAATCTTGACTTTAGAGTTTGTCCAGTGCTTGTTGATGAGACTGCATAAAAGTTTAAAGTGGGGTAAACCCTCTGAAGCCATAGCAAAAGGAGTTCTAAGCCCTGCTTAACATGTTGTATAATTTGGTAGCTAAACTTGCTGTGATTCCCCCCTCCCCATATCACATTTTCAGAATTTTCTTCATTACAGGAAAAATCATAAAAACTGATACATTTTATTTAAGCTGTTACCTTGAATAATGTCCTTTGGCTTTGGCTTGATAATCACTTGAAATGATTTATGCAAACATCTGGGGCTGGGGTTCTGTGGCAACCTTGACATTTTACTGTTTCTGAAGAAGTGAGTGACTCATTCAGTTACTGGGAAATTTTAGGCAAAGTTAATTCCAATTATTTTAATATCCAGCCTTAGTCCTCCTCAGGGGGCTTAAGTTCTGCATAGAGCAGAATGCCTTTGATGGAAAGTGACAGCGGCTGCTGGAAGAGAAGGGTCTTGTCTGTATTCTGTTTTGTGTGCAAGGGGAGAGGATTTGGAAGGTGGAGCTTTTTATGCTTAAGATTGACATTCTCAGATTTTCAGGACTGGATTTTCGGTTCAGGAAGAAAGCACTTTTTTGCTGATTTAGTTTTGGAGAGCCACTGAATCCCCAAACAGGTGGACAGAATAAGCACTCTGTAAACCTAACTCTTACATGCCTGACATCAACCTTGTGTGTCGTATGGGACAAAGTTGATCCCCACCACCCAGTAGATGAGGAAACTGAGGCACAGAGAGATTAACTTGCCCAAAGTCGCACAGCTAAAAGCTGAGATATGAACAGGTGGCCTTTGGAGTCTAGGCTTCCAGCTTGCTTGCTTGCTTGCTTGCTTTCTTTCTTTCTTTCTTTCTTTCTTTCTTTCTTTCTTTCTTTCTTTCAAGGTTTTATTATTAGAGATAGAGAGCAAGAGCAGGAACACAAGCAGGGGGAACAGGAGAGGGAGAAGCAGGCTTCCCACCAAGCAGGGAGCCCGATGCGGGGCTCAATCCCAGGACCCTGGGACCATGACCTGAGCCAAAGACAGACACTTAAAGACTGAGCCACCCAGGCGCCCCTCAGCCACTTTACTATACTCTTAGTAAATCTTTGCCTACTTTTTAGGTCCCAGTCTGCCTACAGAAAAGATCTGGTGTGGAAGATAGAGCATGTTGCTCTGTGGTTTCTTAGCTTATCACCTTTTTTTTTTTTTTAAGGAACTTTCATTATGAAGCTGTAACGAATGTGTTCCTTTTTCTGAAATGTTTAACATTTGAGATTTATACCTCTCCCAGAATGTCTTGTCGCTCACTTTAGAGCTAAACATTGTAATGAAAACCATTATGTAGCACAGCATCCAGCCTTTTGAGTTGGTTTTTATTTTTTTTTTATTACTTATAAATTTTAAATTTGTTGAGAACACCACACAACAAAACTAGCTTGCAATATATTTTTCGGTGAATTTGAAGCAAGCTAGTCCATCACTATATATCATTTTTGGTGTCTAGTAGAATGATTTATCTAGAGAGGGATTGATTTCCGCTGAATTTTAGTTTAGGATTTAGGATTTTAGTTTAAGTCAATGTGGAACCTTCAGTATTATAGATGGTCTAGCTGGTAAGCAGGATACATTGTAAAGCCATCCTAGATCAAGAGCAGCCTGTTTGCTGTTATTCTGGCTTTCATTCTTTTCCCTTCCTCCTACAAGTCTGTGTTTTTCACCACTTGGCCAGACTCTGGGGTGGCAGTAGGCCCAACTCTGGGTGCTCCCGTTTTTCCCACCCTGGAGGAACAGCCTACCCCTGACATAGTCTTTGGAAGGCTTTTCGCTTTGCTCCTCAGAGGAATTCCTTTGAGGCTTGGAGGCAACAGGCAGCCTTGTCTGTGTTAGCTTCTGTGTATATTTCAGGGTTAATAAATCTCAGCTAGAAAAATTAATAAAAATTACACTGCAGTTGAGAGGCTGACCAAGGCCTAATTTCCTGAAGATGATTTGAGGTAATATAAGAATTTGAGTAGATAGAAAAGAGAGACATTGTTAAGGTCCTGAAATTCTTCATCACTTCTTATAAGCAGATTTCACAAGTTGCTTATTGTCTACATTGAGTTTAATAGATCTCTTATTAATGTCTTAAGTTTGGATCTGGAGAATTAATAAATCAGATTTTGTATAACAGATGATCAATTTTTAAATAACTAGTGTAGACTATGACCATAGGGATTAATATTAACTCTTAGAAGTGTCTTCAGAGATTGGAACTCTGATAGAAGATGTGAAAGTGAAGTTCAGACTTCATCTTTGCCCAGATAACAATTATCAAGCAAGAAAGTAAGAATGTCTTTAAGATATTTGATTAAAAGACTTTGGAATGTGGAGAGTTTTATGCCTTTTGGAATTTTTTTTTAGAGGTGGGGAGGAGTAAATGGAGGGAGAGGGGGAAAGAGAATCTTAAGCAGGCTTCATGCCCAGTGCGGAACCTGACGCTGGGCTTGATCTCACAACCCTGAGATCATGACTTAAGCCGAAATCAAGAGACGGTTGTTTAATGG